GGTGCATCGTCACCCCTCATTTTCTATTAGTAAGTCAATTTAACTCGTTTAATAAGAGTATATCCACAAATCATTTGCAAAGGGTTAACACGTGGCTGACAGCACCAGGCAATTAGTAGCTTGTGTGTAAATGCAGTCCTCCTTGGTGTGCCACCTGAAGCTGGAGCTGCTCCCACAATGTTAGCCTTTACTCTCTCTGTACCGTTGGGATAGATGCTAACTTCCCACTGCGTTCCTGTCTCCAAGGGGAATTTTAATGCATGTCCAAGGAAACAAGCTGCAGGCTCCTGGGCTATTAAAAGCCTGGTGGGCTCTCTGCAGAGCCTGGTTCTCGGAGAGGCACCGTGGATGGATCTGGTTTATGGGGTTTATCTGTCATCCCAGGGCAGGAGGAGGGGTTGTGGGGGCTCTAATCACTGCGAAATGGCCGAGATGGCATGGCTCCGGCCCCCAGCTCAGCCGATTGCATCGGGCAGATCTTCCGTGGCTGCAAAATCTGTCAGTGAGTGAAGCCAGGGCTCTCCAGGAGCTGCCATCTCCCTCTCCGCCGCGATGGGATCAAGATGTATAAATAGCCTCAGCCTCCCTTCCCACCCCCCTCCAGCCCCCATACACTCGCACACGGACCGTGAATGCCTCAACAAGCCGGCCAGGTTGCCTTACCCAGGGGAAAAATTCACATGCATCGCAGGCGGCTTAACAGCATAAGACAGATTTTGTTTTCCTTTCGAAGGCGGCTGCGCTCCCTGGGCTGCAGCTGTCTGCTCGAGATACCTATCCCCAGCACCAGCCCTGGGCTTGATCCTGTGTCCCTTACCAGTAGCCCGATCACTTCAAAAATATTGCTGCCACAAGGAAAGGAGGCAGAAATAAATTGTTCTGCTTTCTGGGTTTTTCTTTTCATAAAGCCTGTAGCATCCCCTGTCTCTCTGCAGGGTTTACCCAGGGGCTTTGCATCTCTGAGATGGGTCAGTGCTTAATGAGCACACGGATCCCTTGAACCTTTCTGGGTGAAATATTGGTGGACGGATAAATTTACATGTGCATATGCATAGTCAAATCCTGACTGATGCTAAAGGAGAATCCCTGGTGACAGAAATACCCAGTATCAGACCAGTAAATTTCTGTGACTCGATGTCACATACCAACCTGCAAAAATATATGAACTTGTGATTTACGGGGTTCACCTGGGGGTGCAAAGGAATTGGGAACATTTCTTTTAATGAAAAAAAGTCCAGGCTGCTTCTGATAACATATAGAAACAATAAATACAACTGTAGAACTGAGGTAAAAAAAAAAAGAAAAAAACATGGAAGTGAGAAAGCGGCGGCAAGGAGGACGTGATGAGTTTCCCCGCGGGTTTCTGCCACGTTCGGAGCCTGTGTGAGTGAAGGGTGGAAACGGCATGGCGGTGAGCAGCCAAACAGGTTCAGCTATCCACGTGCCTGCATCATCTGTTGGCTTTCTAAAACCGAATTTTTACCTCCTCGGTTTGAGACTGCAGCGTGTAATGCCACCTTCCAGCTAAGCGTTTTGGGTGCTTCGTAAATAGCTGTTAAGTGATGTTCCCCGCAGGCTTTTTAGCTGAAGATCATCTTCACGGTGCAGGTAGGGAGATGGGGCCACAGCATCGCCAAGCTGCGTGGCTGTGGGGAATACAGCAGACCCAGCTCCATGGTGGGTCCTCAGCATCACGGTGCAAAGCCGCAGCATCTGTCACGGTAGCAGAGGTGAGCCAGACTGACTGGGGCAGCTGCTGATCTGCACTCGTGTTCTGGCAGCTGCAGGAATTAATGAAGTGCCGATTCCCTACCCCTTGATCCCTGGTGCTGACCTTGGCTTCGGGACATGACGGAAGAAGCCAAGGGGGAGTGGATGCAGCAGCTATCAGAGCATCACGCAAGGCAGGGAAGTGTTGCTGGTGCTAAGGCACAAGGTGGATGGGGTACCCGTGGCCACATGGTCCTACACCATCATGCCATGCCGTAGCTTCTTCTGGGCCAGGCTTGGCCTCAGGCATGTGAGAGGACCATGTAGCTCCTCTTTCCCACCCCACAGATAGCCTGGCTTGCCCAAGACCTGATTCATGTCTCCACCGGATCCCATCTTTGCCTCCATGTGCTAATGCAAACCTTTAGACTTTTGCAGGGCACTTTTTAGACCTGGATTAGCTGGGCTCAGACATTAGCTGCCTTTGTGGCTTAGCTGAGGCCAGAGGGGTGTAAGGCAACAAGGGTTGTCCAAGCTGGGAGCTTGGGTGGGTGGGTGGGCAGGCTGAGAAAGACAGCAGACCTTGCAAATGCATATGGTCAACAGAAGAGCATGAGGAACTAATATGGAGAGGGAGAGGAAAGGCAAAGAAGGGGCGGAAATACCCCCCCTGCTCTGCTAAGAAATAACTCAGTTTAGATGCTTGCATTGAGACAGAAGTCTCTGATCTCAATGATATTTGGCCTCAACCAGTTAATGGGAGACTACACAAAACTGGATTAAGTTGTCTACTTTGCTGACACAGAAGTGACGCATTGCTCATCTCAGAGCTGCTGATCTGATGTTGCTCTGAGCTGTCATCATCTGCCACAGCAACAGCGTTTAAATGAAAGGAAGACGCAACAGGACAAGGAAAGAAGGATTTCTGGCTGGTGGGCAGCCTGACAGTAAGCCCAGAGAAATCAGTCCTCCATGGCTCCAGATATGAGCAGCTGGGGCTATTCATGCCACCAGGAGGAGCACGTCAATGAGCCTCACGCAGCGGGGTGGACCCTCCTGACCTCATGGCTGGACCAACAGGCTGGACATGGGGACATGTGTTTCCAGGTTGGCCTCAGGTCAAAAGATTCTCAGGGCTGGTGAGGACTGCATTGCCTCTGCAGCAAGGACACTGGGCTTCCCCCTCCCTCTTCATTTGGAGGAGACAAGTGTTTGCAGCAGAGGCCACTGAAGCTGATGAACCTGTTAGGTGCCTTTGGGGTAGGCCATAAAAAACCATCCAAGATCTGGCTGACCCCTCTTCCTGCAAAATCAAAGTATCCCAGTGGAGAAGGATAATCCTACTGTAGGATGAGGACCAAAATTCTGGAGCTCGTTGAGTGAGGAGAGGGTTTCTGCCTTGCCAATCCCGGAGCAACATTGCCTTCCTGCAGCCACCACTGGGGCAGGCAGTGGGGAACGTGGCTCATGGAGGATGCAATTAGTGGCTCTGGAGCTTGACAGGCACAGTTTCCAACCTCATTGTCTTTGCTGCAGGAATGCCCTCAAAGCTTAGCTAATGAAAATGTCAGCCCTGCCCTTATTCTGGGGAGTAAAAACAAAAGCTGGAGTGGGGTATCTGGACTGGCTTTTAGTCATGGATTGCTCTCCGCTGTGGCAGACATTACTGTCCAGGCAAAAAGCATATTAAATCCATGAATCAAATTTTCTTGAAGGATTTTATGGGCAATGCTTGTCGGTTCCAATGCAAATGTGATCTAGGACCAAACTGCGGCTTGGGAAAGAGAAGGAAGATGTGCTAGTGGAGTAATCATTAATAGACACTGCTAACGTGAGATCCTCCATTACATTGAATAGGGGTGAGCGCCTGCGAGCCAGATTCTGCTGTTGGTCATGGTGAGTTACCTGGAGTAAGACTGCTTAGCTGGTGTCAGCAGGGTGACACTGGATTTACCTTGTGCATGCAAGATCAACATGTGGACTGGGAAAGCAGTCTCCACCAAGGCCCCTTGTGGCTAGATACGATGAACAGAAGAGGGTAAACTTGAAAATAGGTAACTCAGAGATGAAATGTGCTGTTGAGCACTGTAATTTGTTTGCCAGGGCTTTCTGGGGTCCACCAGTACCATGCTCGGCAAGGACTGGCTCTTTGTTGTGCAAGCTGGTTCAGTTATGCCAGCTGTATGATTTAATGACTGCTAATAAGCATAGATTTGCTGAAGTACTCCCCAAAGTCTTTGCTTTGCCATCAAAATCCTCTTCAGCAATTGGATTAGTTGTAGGGAGTGAACAATTACAGCATAAGATAGTGAATTATGTTAAGAGAAATTGATGGGTTTTATTTAATCATATGCTCTTGGTCACATCTTGATAGTATTTTTCCTATGGAGTGAAATGCATCATTGCACCAGTAGGTACCAGAAAAAATACTAAAAAATGCTTGTTTTAATTGACTAGTGCCTAAAAATAAGGCGAATTAACTCTCTGTTCCAAAACAAAATGGGTTAGGCTTTTAGTTTAGGTTATGTTGGCTCTGCACGGGCCCTGCATGCCTTCCTGCCCAGATATCAGAGATATAGTTTGCACTTTCTGGACTGCAGGGAAATGTATGACCAAGTTCCTCGCAAGGACTGTCTTGGTGTGGGAGGAAAAATTCAAGTCAAAAGCTCTGACAAGATGATCTGCCCACCCTGTGCTCTCTAGTTCATCATGGCTCTGGCATCGAAGGTCCTGCAGATGTTTCACTAAATCAGACTATGGTCTTCCAAGATACAGCAAAAGGCTGGAAATCCTTGTCTAAGGTTGCACCAGGCATCAAGAGACGAGAAAGATGCCGAGGATGAGAGACTGGCTTTTTCTGCTTTACTTATGTGCTACAAAATTTGTCCCAGTAAATGTGGGGGAATATCACTAAGCTTCATTGTCTTGTGTCCTCCTAAGCCAGTTTTGTCTGAAAGACAACTAAACTGCTGCCTGGTGGCACAGGCTGCTGTGTTTGGGTGTGCAGAGGGATTAGCACTTTAACCTGCTCTAGCACCTTGTCTTCAGGTGCTGTGAAGACCTGGAGGTGTAAAATGGCTCACCCGTGACTTGCTGTAGCTGTTTTCCATTGGGAGGACCCATGGCCGCTAGAGGTTGAGCAATTCACCATGAGTCGCTCTGCAAGTACCCAGCAAACGCAGTAGTTAGGAGGCATCTCCCCATGATTGCAGTGTGGCTCAGCTTGAGCAATGGGCCAGGGCAGCACAGGATCCCCATTTCATGACTCAGCCTTTACCTGTCGGTGGGCTATGGTGAATTGGGGCCAAACCAACGGCAGCAAATATAACCTGCGGTACCGGGAGATGGTGTACATTGACGGCTCATGGGTCTGGGTTTGCTGCTCCATCGTTGGGGAACAGTGGGTCTGATCCCACCTCCTCTGGTTTTAATTAATAGGGTAGCCGAATCATGCTGTTATCTGACAGCATGAGAAATTATCACCTTAAGAAGTTCTGCTGCTGGTAGCACACACATTTGTTACCCGCTGCCTCTCTCAGAGGGGTGCTACGGAGGATTAGTTTGTATTTAAGAGATGCTGTGTGTAATTACTTATGCACAGTTTTGCAAACCATTCATTTCTGTTAGGTCCTCTCCCGTTTCTTTTGCTGGCATCTGGCTTTCTTTGTACATCTCCCGTTTCCATACGGACGTGAACAGAAAGAGCTCGGGGCTCCCTGAGCTGCTGTGGTGGACTGGCCCTGCCTGCCGGCAGAAGGGAGATGTGAGCAGAAGGGATCTGGGTGAAGAAAGCATCATGGGCACATCTGGCCTGTGTCTTGGGATGACACTCAGAGTCTCTTGGTGCTGTTGTTCATGGATTTAAAAAAAAAAAAAAAAGAGGAGTTTTTTGGAAGATGAGGTGTTCAAAAGACTGCGTAAAAGGGTAGGTGTCTTATCCTGGGGCTGATCCTCAGCAAAGAGGCATCTCTAATAGCCTCACTTGAGTCTCATCCTTCACCTCTGAGCTGCCTCTCTCCCTAGTTTAAGAGCCAAAAGTTTTGCTGTGATGCCTGTAAATGCTCTGGGAATGTGGGAATTAACGTGCCGGATTGGGCCAAGGGCCCATCCAAGCAAGGATCTTGAGGGAGGCGCAAGCCAGTGCCAGATGTTTTGCAAAAAGCCTCTGCTACGGATATCTTTCACACCTCATTTCTTCCTCATTCCCATCAGTTTCATGGCTGCGCTCGTAGCAGTCCATGTTGGGTCTCCCGCAGCCGCTGTCTCCCTGCGTGCAGCTCATGAGGATGGGCTGTTGAAGGATCTCAGCAAAGACGCACGGTCTTAATCCCAGCTCTTAGAGGTGGAAGGTGTCTCATTCACGTCCTGCAGTCAGTGAGAGACAGTTTCTTAGAGCAGAGATTATTTCCTTGCCTATGAGACATTTTTAGACAGGCGAAGGAATACCTTGAGCTCATAACCCATGAAAACATATTTTAGAAAACAGATTTTTTTTTTCCTTTTCTAAAATGTTGAGGCTTTTTCACAGAATCACAGAACAGTTTGGGTTGGAAGGGACCTCTAAAGGCCATCTAGTCCAACCCCCCTGCAACGAGCAGGGACACCTTCAACTAGATCAGGTCGCTCAGAGCCCCGTCCAGCCTGACCTTGAACGTTTCCAGGGATGGG